GTCGGGCGCACCTCGACAGCATGGCCCTGCGTCTGACCGTGTGCGACTACGACAAGTTCTCTCGGCGGCTGGTGCTGGGTCATGTTCTGTTCCCGCTGAGCACTGCCAACATCAGCAGCAAGCTGACTGACGATGTTGTAACCGGAGAGACTTGGATGCCCCTAGAGGAGCGACTAGCCGAACATGAGGTCAGTTTACAGCTGGAAATGTGTGAGATGAGATGGGATGTGAGATTGAGAGGGACAATATGTGCGAGGGCAGGTGTCCTCTGGGATGAAACTCAGGTGTTTCCGGAAAAAACTGTTACAAGTGTTAACTTTTTTATATACGCAGACTAGCACCTGAATCAAGAATAAAGATGCACAAAAACGATTCAAAAACAATCCCCCAGTCAGCTGACAAACAACGATACCGATATATTCCAAATTTGCCCACTAGCAGTGCAATACCAGCCTTCCTTCGGTTTATCATAATGATGATAATATGTTTATGGTTTTAACTTTACACCCGAAAGAAATTGCAATCACAACAACGTGACATTATGAAACACGTCGATAGCATTTGCTGCCAACCTGTAATAGGAAGGTAATTTTTAAACATTAGGTAAAATGCATTACATTTTGCTGCCAGGAAGCTGCAAGATGTAGTGATAAGCGAATTCAGACTACCTACATAGACTACCTACTACCTACATACAATTCAGACTACCTACATCTACCTACATATAATACTGTCCTGCTTGAATACTGCCCCTCGTTTATGTTTCTAACCCGAGCTGTTTGCGTCTGTCTGCACACTGGCAGCTGGCACACAGTAAAGGTCAGCTGGAGGTGTCGATGTGCTACGTGCCCGACGCAGAGATGATATACGCAGAGGCACTGCGAGCCAGGGACCTGAGGATGCACGACACCGAACTGGGTAAGACGATACAGCGGCCGTCATTGCTTGGCATAATCAATTTGAGGTATACAATGCCTCAATTAGGGCAGGTAAATTCACTAGTTGATTGAATAACATATATGTTTTGTATTGACGAGATCCTTTTTACCAGCATTGATCACGTTGACATCACGTTAATTGGTGTACGCAGTTTTAACCCGCGCCCGGCTGGGGGTCCTGGATTTCCACGCCCTGCTGGGGGGGGGGGGTGTCTGAACACCCCCCCCCCCCCTTCTAACTCGGCTCCTGGGCCACGTAGCGATACGCGGAAGGCGGCGTTCGAAAGAGCGTCAAAAATAATGAGGAAATCACTTCGGTCAATTTTTTGGTCAGGTCAAAGGTCAGGTCACCAGAGGTCATTGAAGGCAAAATTTCGCCGATTTCCAGGTCGAATGTCGACAATTTCCAAGAAGCCAACGCATAACTCGGGAACCAATAGAGCTACAGCGCCGCGGAAAAGCGCATTCGATAGCCCTATTAACGCCCTTTCTGAGTAATTCTCTCAGATTTGACCTAACGTCAACGGTTTTGCCTGCAGGGGGCAAAAACTGCAAAAATAGCCGATTTTTTCGGAAACAGTTTTTCTGCAATAACTTTTGACCCAGGCCTTGTACAAGCTTACTTTTACCGGCATCGTGTTCCTCTCGTCAAGACGCATCGAATGAACTATAACTTGACCTTGAAAGGTCAACTTGAAAATTTGACCTCAGGTCAAGGTCATGACCTGACCGGAAAGGGTCATGTTGCATATCAGTCGATCCGTATCGTCGAGCTGAACACATCTAAGGCGTTTTCATCGCTCTAGCATGCCTCTATCAAAAGTTATTTGCGAAAAACTGTTAGATATCATTCGTGACCTAAGATGACCTCAGGGCATAAACAGGGGTCACGGACGCCATTTTCATGTTCAGTGTGTCTAAACCACTTGCAATTCAGTGTTTGGGAGTGTTTATAATGTCTTTCGTCCAAAAGAGGCGCATTTCAATTTTCTCCCATTGACTTATAATGGGGAGGTCGCAAAATTGACCTGACCTTAGGTCATCGATATCAAAATTCTGAGATATACATTTTGTACATGCTATTGCTCTTAGCAATCGCTGAATGTTTCAAAGCGATCGGTCACTCGGTGTAGCTATGACAGACATTGAAAGTTTTTATGAGGTGAGGTCACTTCAAGTGACCTGGTGACCTGACCTTGAATGACCTTAGTCTGAAATTTTCACAACATGTGTAGAATTGATGTATGATAAGGTGTACCAAAAACGGCGGCGCTCCGCGCCGCCGTTTTTGAGATATTTGCGAAAAACCACAAGGGGGGGTGTTCAAACACCCCCCCCCCCCAGCAGGGCGCGGGTTAAACACGTCAAGGTTTTATAGAACGAGAGAATAAATGGTTGCAGAGAATAAGTGGTTGCAGCCTTGTTAGCTACCGAGGCATCATTCAACTGACATTGACGTCATGCAAATTGATGGATTTAATTTTGAGCATCCTCAAGTTTAATAAAGAAGAGAGAATAGTCTGGTTATTACATTCTCAGCAATCAGTATTTTCATTTGCCGTTTCTTTCTGCCGCCAGTGTCCATGTTCGTGAAACTCTCGTGGTACGAGAGGAAGCGTCTGGCCCGGACCAAGAAGTCTCGTCCCTGTAAGCACACCAGGGACCCCCAGTTGAGCGAGCGCTTCACTCTGGCCGTACAGAGGAGCTTCCTGTCCGACGTCTGCCTGGTGGTCACCGTCTGCGCCCGAAACAAAATCGGTGAGATATTCAGTGGCCAATAGGCAGAATAATTTGTTAATTGCTGTTTGGTGGCCAAGCCCTGAAGCTTTAGCAAACCTAGGTGTAGTGCAAACAGCAATTCCATACATAGAAAGTTATTAGTTACGCTTTACAGCGAGAGCAATCAGTGGTCAATTCAGAGGACAAATATGACACAGAAATCGTTGATTCCACTTAAAGATCAACAATGGACAGTAATTGCATACAAAAGCCCAAAGCGTGTTCCCTCGATGAAACTCACGGAGTTTTTCTTCACTGTGAAGCCTAGTGACCCAGTCTGATCCTCTGTATACGATGAAATTTTCCCGGTTTATGGGCCGGCAATAACCTAGATCAAACAGAACAAAGTCGAAATGTCGGGACGGGGGAAGCTTACAATCAACGTTGTATCTGAGCGGTGAGCAATCTACTGAATTGCCTACACCAGTCATGCTTAGAATCAGTTACTGCCGTTACACAACTCTGTTTACAAGAATTTATCGTCGTGTGTGAAAACCACCTGATAAGAAGGGTTGTATATCAAAATGATTTAGTCCCCTCTTGAAAGCGTGAACAAAGAGCGAGCATCGTTAAAAGCACGGTAGATAACAACTGAAAATGCATGCCACCCTTTCGGATCTTAAACATGATCTGCCTTTATGACCCAAAGAAATCAACCCTGACCATCCACCTGAAGCCATCTGAATCATCCAAATCAACCCTGAATCAACCCTGAGGGATCTTCCTCCGACCTGAACCTAGATAACCTTTCCTGACCTGGCCTGACCCCATACGTCAACGTGATGTGACCTGCCCCAAAAATAAGCCTACTCCCAAAGGGATCTATAGCATCACCATACACTTGACACGCCCCAGTCTGTAAAAACCCTTTCTGATTTAACGTGACATGACCTGACCTGGTGTGCCCTTACTTGACCTGATCTGGCATGCCCTTCGATGACCTGACCTGACCTGAACTTTAACGGCAGGTGTTCGTCACACGCTGGGTCGATGCTGTATCGGTCCCATCACCTACACAACCGGCACCGGACTGCAGCACTGGAATAACATGCTACACTCGACCGGCAAGGCCATCAAGATGTGGCACGACCTCACGTGACCTCGGGTCAGCGGTAGTGACCTTCGGTCAACGGTCGTGACCTATGGGTAATGGGTCGTGACCTTGGGTCAACGGCCGTGACCTTGGGCCAACGGCCGTGACCTTGGGGCAATGGATCGTTATCGTGATCTGAGGTCAGAGAGTCTTGGCCTTAGGTTAGCGATTCGTGACCTTTGGTCAACGAGACATGACATAGGATCGTTCATCTGTGACCTCTGTTGACCTCATGCGCTCGCTGTTGCCCGTATCTGACTTAATGCGACCTGAAACTATTACTAGCCTGCCTAGTCCAGTAACAATACTAGCCTGCCTAGTTCAGTAACAATCTGGCCAGAAGGGCCTGCCTTTGGATTGCTTTAATAGGTATCAGTGCGTCTCCTCTGAGACCGATATGTGGTGCCTTTGGATGAGTGAGCAATTAAATGAGTAACGAATGAGTAATGAATAGTAATGAATGAACGGATGGAAGTGAAACAATGAAAGGATTATTGGAGGGCTTACGGTGCGTGCTAACTATGAAGCCATTCCGATGAGCTGGTATTATTGAATGTGATAAGACATCCCATGTGCAGGTGAAGGTTTTTGAGACTGCGACGATGTATGCGACAGTTATCTACAACAGTTGTTTGTGCCAGTATATGTGACAGGACTCTCTGATAGTGTCATGACCGTATCATATTTTACCATGTCGCATGTTTTTCATGTAGATATGATAATGATGTGAAAGGTGTAATGGATAAGCCTGTGAAGCAGAGCGTCCATTTGTGCCACCTGCTGAATATATGACATATCCATAATTTACATTAGTTTATGCAAGCACCCTATGAAAGCAAAATTTACTTAATTGAACTTTGAAGTAACCTACCGGCTCATTTCAAAACGTCTGCAAAACAAGGTCTGATTACGACTTGACTTCTCCCCAGCTTCCCATAGCAATGAGATATGTTCTCATTTTAAAACCACTGCAAATTTATAGCACAACCGTCGATCTAAAACTCTTCATATCCACTCTTCACTCAACGACACCAGCTTTACAAGTTGTGCCGAGTTTTCTGACCGGGTCAAGTTCCCGCTGTTCCTAGGTGGCCTTTGCTCCGCTATGATCCTGCGATAGCGCCAACAATAAAGCGCCATTCCCGTGACGTCATTACGGGAGAACGTCCGATATTCACTGCCACAGATTATGAAAACACATTGTCGCTGGCAAACATCAAAGTAGAACAATGGCGCAAAGTTTGGGTTGCGCATACCCACAGTTATCAGACGATCCAACTTGCATTTTTGTGTTTATTTTTTGGCTTTAACAGTAAACCGCAAAACGTAACAAAACAACAGTAACAACATCATGCACGCGTCATCAGAAGTTTACACCTCTGCCGTTCTGATAAACTGCGTAGTGCTGCCCCGCGCTGCCCCGAAGAAGCGGCTGGTAGGCACGCATGTACCCAAAACTGTTCGGAAATGCCGGAATAAACGCAAAACTCCACTCGGGGTTGGCGAGCTGTGAACTAATGCCTGTGAAATGAACAAAGGGGCAAGCGTGTTAGTTTCATGATAGCAGTGGTAATTGTGACATGCACCATTAATAAATTGATGTTCAGCACTTCAGGGGAGGCTCATGAATGTCTTCAGCAGTTCCCTGGGTGCAATTTGATTAAGTCTTTTGTCAGATAAATCGAATGGCAATGCATAAGCTCAATCACAATGCCAGAAAAAGGCGGACAACGCCTTCGCACAGCTTTCATTTTTCAAACACTTACCAGTTTTCGATGCATTGTTGTTGTTGTTGTTGTTGTTGCTGCTGCTGCTGCTGCTATTGCTAACGCTGCTAGTGATGCTGCTACTGCTGCTGCTGCTACTGCTGCTAGCAACTCTGTTACTCAAGCTGCCTCCACTGGCTCTGACACCACTGATGGAGCCTCCGGACACCCCACGTGACGTCAGAGAGCTACACCTGAGTCGCGTACAGCTGTAGGTTCCATCAGAGAGGCAGCGGCATGTATTGCAGGCGATCATTCGGACGGTCCCGAACACACATCCGGTGGTCTTCTGATTTGGTTTGTCTGTGAAGGGACAGGGGGAAAATAACTGCAGATTAAATTTGATGAGGTTTGCACTGATAAGAGGTTAAATATGATTCCAGAATGCTTCATTTGGCACTTTTTGATAACTGATAACTATTATTTGAGGACGTCGATGATTTCCCCGCCTAACATCTGGTTTACGACGCTGATTACATTGCTGATCAGTTTGCACAACCACCTGCATTTCAGCAATCATCACTTAACAAACGTCACTTCCATGCATTTGCATCTATCGAAAGCACAGTTGCATGCATATACAATATACATGCCAGCATGCACGTCATAGATTCCAGCACTACATTTTGATCAATTGACACCTTTGAAACAACTGATACATTTGAACAGTATCACTCCGCCAAACGCTCCAGCGGCAAACTTACATTGAGGACGGGCCTCCACTAGTGATCCCCAAACCAAAATGAGCACCACCACTGCAGCAAACAATCTCACTGCCATGCTGACGTCTGTGTCAGGCTTGGCTACAACCACCCACCCCTCACGACCCTCCGTGTCCTCTAATGCGGGAGTTCGCGGGCGATGAACCTATGCCACTTAAACCATGACTGGGCGGGTTTGGTGGGCGGGAACCGGGGCCCGCCTCAGGGCAAGGCCTAGTTTTTATCGGACGACAGGGACTGGGACCAGTGTTGGGGTGAATGGGGAAGATGGGGGAGGAGGTATTGTTGTCATTCGGTTCAATGGTTCTTTTAGCCAGAAGTATACCAGCCACATCAAGTAGTTCATGAGCGCCGATGGTTATCATAACCTTCTGTTGTTAAATTGCAATATCTCCTGCGGCTGAGTTTATGTCATTTTCTATCGATATCTAAAGCAAACGTCGCAGCAGATGGAATGATGATAAATAAGGGCTTCCGTATACTTGACTCTGGCGATATCCCACGAAGTGAAAATGGTTGCAAACGAAAATGAAAAACATCCATTTATTGTCATCATATGATTAACGACATCCGTAGTGTTGCATATCTCTGAGCGCAGGTGACGGTAGGTCATGGGAATGATCAGATGGGTGAACCCTCCTCATTAAAAATATAGCAATAACAATATCATCATGATGTGTCAACATACACACAAGGTGCGGCAACAATGTTGTCATCTCCAACGTTACTTGGGTGCCGAAGAAATATATTTAATTAGAGCACATAGCAATGAAGACTGAAGGATTGACTTCGAATGCCAGATGATTTCTTGACGCTGTGAAGTTCCAGCATATATGCATGCGATGGCTTTTTTCAAGCAGTCGCTCCGGCGTCGTTGGCCTCTCCTCCCGATTACTTATTCATCATGATATTATCCCTGCTGAAACAGAACAAACAATTTATTTTCAGTTACATTGTGGTTTTTGGACGAGTATACATTTTGAAATTATGATTCAACGAACTTCGATCATTACATCACGGCAAGGTGGGACGAAAAGGCCCATGGAAAGTTGTGTACATACATACAAAATACAAAAAAGAAAATCATAAAAATATAATTACCCTGAAGCTTCCAAGCCTTCCGAAGTTAGGGGGGAACCGGCTTCCACCTCCGGGAAACCTTCCCGGAAAACTTCCCGGGAAGTTTCCGGGAAAATTTACTGGCAGTGGACCTGCGAAGAGAGACAATTTGTTATCGCTGAAAGTCTGCATAGATGAGAAACAAATCCGTCGCAATGATAACACAAACTTTAAAATAAACCTCGTATTATTTCATAAAAATAAGACCAATCAATTTCATATCAAATCAAATATCTACAAGTTCAAATTTCACTAAAATGTTATCAAGCCGTAACCCTCTGAAACAATCAATCTCCTTTTTACTCAACAAATTAAAAAACAAATGCACCATACATGACTGACAAGTGACAATCAACAGTAGCATGACTAAAACAAATAAGTATCCTCCCACAAAAAAAAAAAACAGTGGACTCACGCGGGCGCGGCCTTCCTCCGCCGGAGGCGCCTCCTCCGACACAGGCCTTCAGCGTACAGCCGAGGACCCCGGTAGAGGAGCACGTGCACGTGTTACAGTCCCTCTGTACCACACTGCCCGGACGGCAGCGGCTCGAGCCGCCTCCGACTGGTGGTGAGAGGAGGGGCGGGGTAGGTGAGAGAGGGATGGGGTAGAGAGAATTGTCAGAGAGAGGAATAGCAGTATCAGTAGCGGCGGAACACCTTCAATTAGGGGGGGGGGGGCACTGCCGACTTTTGGTCCCATTCTTTCCATGCAACGCCCATAGGGCTAATGTTAAAATGCCAAATCAAAAGGGGCATGGTGCCCCAGTGCCCCATCCATCCCCACCGTTCCGCCGCCAATGAGAGTATGAGACAGAATAATCATAGTCCAACAGCAAATGGGAAAAGTTCCCGAAACGAACATTTCCATGGCATCGAAATTATCCTAATACATAGCAACACGTATAATCAAGTGCGAGATACGAAGATAAACTTGAAAACAGATTATTAGCTACAATAGCATTAGTAACAATATCCTTTTGTAATTGAATGTCCTTATAGGTATCCAGCATAAAAGCACGAATCTTACCATAAGCAATACAAAATGTTAGGTATGAGACATCGCTCACTATTGCAAGCACGAGGCACCAAAAGCCTTTCACTACCAAAAGCGCCATCAAAATAAGAACATTGTGTAGCCGTTACTCACATTGTGGTGCTGCGCCCGCCAACACCAAACAACACACCAAAACCACCAATATCATCACACTCTTCATCTTGCAGTGTCTCTGCACCCTCTCAGCCTCCTCGTCTCACTAACGAATGACGATGAATCCCAGACGAGTCACGCATTTATATCCCGTCAGGCTGCAGAGCCGTGGCCGCGGGGAGGAGGGATTCCCAAGAACCCCCCCCCCCCCCGGACCCCCTCCCTCTTCTATCTTCAGACCAGACACCAAACGTGCGGTTCTTTCCCACCCATCCCGCCTCCTTCGATCAGCCGTGAGATAGTCACGACATGTCTATTAGCCGTTCGTGACCTGACTACAATGCCGTGAATAGGGACCGTTCACAGCTGACTGGAGGGCCTGGAAAACACGCCTCTGGGTGACGCCCTCGGAGGGTTCCGGGCGGTTGTCGGTGTTTTGTCCGGTGTGGTCTGAAGGTCATTGTGAGTGGTGGGCTAAGGTAGCCCGACATGCAACCATGCATCTGTTGTTTATCTCATATGCAACGCATAATTCAACTGGTGAACTATCGCATAGGAAGTGAAGTCGGTTTCCGACAAGCTAAACCAGCGATGATACGTTCTTGGATAGGCGACTTATTGCATCTCTGCATAAATCATAAAAATGAAAAGGTTAACGACCCAGCATTTTATGCGCAATTCGTTGCAGTTCACTTTTTCATTTGGCCTGTCAACAAAGGCACTGTATGACATATGGGACCTACAAGTTGAGCCTGGGTCTCACTGTTCACCACATGAAAAACATAAATAAAACGATCTATCTATATTATAAATCCTAAATAATCCGCCGCCGCCCACGCCGTGTGCGACGTAGTCACTTTGTAGCGCTTATTGCGGCGGCGTCCGTTGACCTACGGCCGTGAAATTTTACAGCGATGTGGGCCACCTTTACACGTAGGTCGTATTAAATTTTGGACATGATGCGGCCGGGGGTGCGCCCTTGGCGCGTGCTCGCGTGCCCATAGGGTTAACATTAGAATCGGCAAAAACACGCTATTGCTCGGGAACGGTAAGGGCTACGGGGGTGAAATTTTCGCTGCAAGTCGAACGCGTGCACTCATTTGACGTATTAAATTTTCGAGGTGGTGGGTTCAGCGGTGTGCACGTGGTGGGGCCGCGACCGGCGCCGAGCAGAGGGCACGTGCTTTAGGCTCAGTTGTTCGCTTAAAAAACTGAGTGGGCCGGCAGGTCATTGACCTTTGACAACGAAGGCCGACACAAGGCACCGCTGGCCAAGGGGATTCACCAGAAAATACAATTAATTTATTTTTGCAACATCTCAGCCGTTTCTGGGCCGATTTAGCTGAAACTTGGACTGTCGCTGGTAGTGTAGGGTAGGGTAGGGTAGGGTAGGGTAGGGAGAGAGAGAGAGAGAGAGAGAGAGAGAGAGAGAGAGAGAGAGAGAGAACTGTATTTACGGACTCATGGTCCAATTGTAAATGAGATAGAACCACTTTACACTGCTAACAGTGCCCGATTCCACACAGCCCTATATCTAGAGCGTATGCTCACATCACTGTTCACAAGAGCGCTCAAAACAGTGTTTTTGGTCAAACCGAGCCTTCGGAGAAACATCCATGATGACTTTCTGAACATAACATCAAAGCTATCAATGCCTTCGCGAACATGCATTGCAGAAGCACTACAGAATCTTTCGTAGCCAAAAAACATTCGAGCAGCATTATTCAGGCAAACCTTAAACTTGTTGATAACAGACACATTGAACACGTGCCAAAGGTGAAGGCAATATACAGTGGCACAATAGGACATATACAGAAACTTCTTCACCTGATACGAGCACATCGAGAATTTCCGAATCAGCGAGTTCGTTCGACAGCACAGTAAACGATATTGCTGCTGGATTTCCAAATTGTAGGGTAGGGTAGGGTAGGGTAGGGTAGGGTAGTGTAGTGTAGTGTAGTGTAGTGTAGTGTAGTGTAGTGTAGTGTAGTGTAGTGTAGTGTAGGAGTAGGGTAGGGGTAGGGTAGGGTAGGGTAGGGATAGGGTTGAGTTAAAATAGGGCCTAGGGTAGGGTACGGTAGGGTAGGGTAGGGTAGGGTAGTGTAGTGTAGTGTAGTGTAGTGTAGTGTAGTGTAGTGTAGTGTAGTGTAGTGTAGTGTAGTGTAGGAGTAGGGTAGGGGTAGGGTAGGGGTAGGGTTGAGTTAAAAAAGGGCCTAACATACAAAAGACTTGGACACTCCGCAACTATCGCTATTATATTAAAAACAGCTACCCAAATCTACCCAAATAATACAGCTAAAATACAAGCCACTCACCCAAACTAATGCATCCGTCACATATAATTAATCAAAACATACAGTTATCGCGCAAACCTGTACCTCTAGTCTATATTATAAATCCTAAATAATCCGCCGCCGCCGTGTGCGACGTAGTCACTTTGTAGCGCTTATTGCGGCGGCGTCTGTTGACCTACGGCCGTGAAATTTTACAGCAATGTGGGCCACCTTTACACGTAGCTCGTATTAAATTTTGGACATGATGGGGCCGGGGGTGCGCCCGCAGCGCGTGCTCGCGTGCCCATAGGGTTAACATTAGAATCGGCAAAAACACGCTATTGCTCGGGAACGGTAAGGGCTACGGGGGTGAAATTTTCACTGCAAGTCGGACGCGTGCACTCATTTGTCGTATTAAATTTTCGAGGGGGTTGGTTCAGCGGTGTGCACGTGGTGGGGCCGCGACCGGCGCCGAGCAGAGGGCACGTGCTTTAGGCTCAGTTGTTCGCTTAAAAAACTGAGTGGAAACAGACCCGGCAGGTCATTGACCTTTGACAACGAAGGCCGACACAGGGCACCGCTGGCCAAGGGGATTCACCAAAAAATACAACTAATTTATTTTTGCAACATCTCAGCCGTTTCTGGGCCGATTTAGCTGAAACTTGGACTGTCGCTGGTAGTGTAGGGTAGGGTAGGGTAGGGTAGGGTAGGGTAGGGTAGGGTAGGGTAGGGTAGGGTAGGGTAGGGTAGGGTAGGGTAGGGTAGGGTAGGGTTGGGTAGGGGATTGTAGGGTAGCATGGGTGTCGATTTGTATACCTTTGGGGGTGCTGCAGCACCCCCAACGCTCAAATGAGCACCCCCAATGGTTTTCCGGGCACCCCCGAATGTTCCAGTTAGCACCCCCAATGATTTTGTCCCTCAATAACTCCCACTACCTAACTCTGCTTGAAGAAAATAATTGGTTCTGCAGTCTTTCACTACTAAAACTAAAACAATTACACAACTTGCAATGCATGAAATAAAGATGTAAAGAAAAGAAAAGTTAGTTTTAAGAAGAAGGGCGAAAAAAAAACGGTAAGTTGCAAAGACACTGGTGTGGGTCCGTCGTACACGGATGTCGGACCCTTAGAGCTGCTGGCGCGTACCCTTTACAAGCCGGCAGGGGGCTCCAGAGACCGGCGACGGGCCCTCAGAGGCCGACAAAGGGCCATCAAAGGCCGGTGGTACCTTAAGAAACCCTGTGGGGTCGTCTTTAGAGACCGGCACGGACTCAGCGCCGATGGGGCCCTCAGAGTAGCCGGTGTGGGGCCTTCAAATGTCACCGGTGGGTGGCCGTCACATGCGCACTTGTGGGGCATTTAGAAGCTACGATGTTGGGCCCCCAGAGCCGCCGATATAGGGCCTTAAGAGGCACTAGTGTGGGGCCCTCAGATATGGCAATGTGGGGCCCTCGGAGCCGCCGGTGTGGAGGGTTCACAGTCGCCGGTGACGGCCCTCACAGGCGCCGTTGTGGGGGCTCTCAGAGACACTGGTTTAGGGCCATCACAGGCGCGCGTGGGGCCCTTAGAACTGCTGTTACGGAACGGACCCTTCATAGGCCGACAAGAAGATATTAAGAGGTCACCGGTGCCTTCAGGAGCCTTGTGGGGTTCTCAGAGACTGGTATGGTGCGCTCAGACGCCGCTGGGATCCTCCGAGTCACCTGTGTGGGATCGTCAGGGTCGCTGGTAACTGACAAGGGCCCTCAGAACCGCCCATGTAGGGTTTTTAAAGCCATTGGTGTAGGGCCTCAGAGTTAGGGGTGTGTGGCCCTTAGAGACGCCGGTGTGGCGCTCAGGGGCGCCGGTGAGGGCCCTCACAGTCGCCGTTATAGGGGCCCTCAGAGAAATGGGTGTGGGGCCATTACAGGCGGGTGTGCAGCTCCTAGAGCTGGCCCCCTATAGGCCGGTTAGGACCCCCAGAGGCCGGCAAGTGGGCCTCAGAGGCTGGCTTGGGGCCCTTATGGAGATCTTAATGTTGGTACTTGTGGGCCCATAAGGTGTTCTTACGAGCCCTGTGGGGCCCTACTTAGTCCAAATATGGCCAACGTGGACCCTCAGCGGCCAATTGGCGCCGCAGGGCCCCTCAGGCCCGAATAACCCGAGGGGCCCCTGAACCTGATGGGGGGGGGGGGCATGTGCCTCACGGGCCCACCTGGCTACGCCACTGACTGGAAAATCGTAAACCCATAAATATCGAAATGCGATCACCTGTCATTATCAGAGATTATTGTGATCGTCTTATTACCGCCAGAGCTTCGTAGCTACCGTTCCCTCCGCGCAATATCCGCTCCTGCGGACCGCAGGGGCTGCTGCACCGGTGCTAATCGCCGTCATCGGTTACTGTCGCCTTATTACCGAGGTGCCGGGGCTGCAACCAGCTGCCGGCAAATGTACGACTTTTTTTCGGAAACATATTTATGTAATAAGGTAGCCAAGTACCTACCAGGACGAGCAAAATGATGCTGAAGAACGTTCAACCTTTGGGAAATATTAGTGGAAATCCCGGGATTATCAGTAGGGGAGAGTGGGGTGGGTTGTATCAGTTTTTACTCCGAAACCCATAACCTCGTAACTATCCGTGATAAACTCATTATTTCCATACTATCCCCTTCCTTGATTCTTCTGCTTTTTTTGTGCAAAGTAACTTTTCCGCTACCTCTACCAGTTTTTCTTCTACGGTCTGCCGAATAGAACAATGTTTTTGATACAACTTGCCCCATGGCTTGGGTGAGTTGTATCACATGGTGGGGTAGTTTGTTATATCACTATTTCACGTTTCAGGGAGTGTGCTTGCTACTGGTTTT